TGTAGGGGTCTGTAGGGATCTCTAGGGGTCTGTAGGGTTCCCTAGGTTCTTTAGGGGTCTGTAGGGGTCCCTATGGTTCTTTAGGGGCCCCTAGGGGTCTGCAGGAGTCTGTAGGGGATTGTATGGCATCACAGGGACCTGTAGGGGTCTGTAGGGTCCTGCAGGGGTTTGTTGGGGTCTGTCGGCGTCTGTAGGGGACTGTAGGAGTCTATAGGGGTCCATAGGGATCCCTAGGGGCCTCTAGGGGTCTACAGGGGTCTGTAGGGGCCTGTAGGGTTGGCCCCACTGGTGGAGGACCCTGTGCCCAGGACCCCCAGGGCAGGTCTGGCTCCTGCCTTTTGGGGACCCTGTGGCTCACGTCAGGGTTGGTGCTGCTCCTTCCCTCCCTCCTCTCTCCATCTGCCCGTGTCCAGGGAGGGACGGAGCCTGAGCCCTCTCGGGCCAGGAGCAGTGAAGGATCCAGACCCAAAAAGCCCCAATTCCTGACGGTGACAGATCACAGCCCTTCCTGAGCCACGGCACCGTCACGGCGGCAGCAGCCAGAGGTGCCAGGATCACTGGGATCTCACACACCCCAGCTGGATCTAAATTCTGGGGAGCAGGCTGACCTTTTCTCACCTTTCATGTTGGTTTTTTTGTTTTTTGTTTTTTTTTTTAAAAAAACTCAGACTAAAGACAAACTGAAGCCACCCCGAACCCGGCCAGTGGCCCCGAGACATCCTGCCGGCGACACAGAGCCGCTCCAGAGCATCCGCAGCTCGACAGGAAACCGGCAGCAGTAAGAGGATAAAAATACCCCTGGGTGCAAACAAAACCTCTCTGTGCCGGGATTAGGGGCTGCTCCAGCCCCCGGTAATCGGGGCCGGGAGCGGAGGGCACCGGGGCTGGGCCACAGCGGGGGCTTTGGCTTCCAGCACACGTGTGGGATCAGGGCTCTAAGCCCGGCCAGCAGCTGCCTGGGGAGTGGGGGCAGCGAGGGGGGGGATGCTGGGGGAGAAACCAGACACCCCAGCCCCCGAATGCCCCCCCGGAAAAGGGGTGAGACCCCACAGAGCCCCGACACCCAAATCCTCTTGTGGATTCCACAGAGACCCAGCCCCAAGGAAGGGTCCCCCCATCCCCGTTGAAGGACCCTGCCTTGGTCCTAGGGAGAGGAGAGGGATGTGGGGAGCAGGGGGTCCCGTGCTCCCTGCCTCAGCCCCCCCAAAGCTCCCAGCCCCACATCCTGGCTCCCCATCACCCTCCTGGAAAAGGGGTGAGACCACCCAGAGCCCCGACACCCAAAGCCTCTTCTGGATCCCACAGAGCCCCAGCTCCAAGGAAGGGTCCCCCCATCCCCACTGGGGGATCCTGCCTTGGTCTCAGGGGGAGGAGAGGGATGTGTGGGGAGTGGGGGGTCCTGTGCCCCTCACCTTGGCCTCCCTACACCTCCCAGCCCCCACATGCTCCCCTGGAAAAGGGGTGAGACCCCCCAGAGCCCCGACACCCAAATCCTCTTGTGGCTCCTGCAGAGCCCCAGCTCCAAGGAAGGGTCCCCCCATCCCCACTGGGGGATCCTGCCTTGGTCTCAGGGGGAGGAGAGGGATGTGTGGGGAGCAGGGGTCCCATGCCCCCTGCCTCAGCCCCTCAAAGCCGCTCAGCCCCACATCCTGGCCCCCCAACATCCCCCTGGAAAAGGGGTGAGACCACCCAGAGCCCCGACACCCAAACCCTCTGGCTCTTGCAGAGCCCCAAGGAATGGTCCCCTCATCTCAAGTGGTGGACCCTCCTTTCACCTAGGGGAGAGGAGAGGGATGTGTGGGGAGCACGGGGTTCCGTGCCCCCCCTCACCTTGACCCCCCAACAGCTCCCAGCCCCACACAATGGGTGCATTTGAGTGCTCCAAGCATGGGGCCGTGGTGAGGCCCCACCACGAGGCCCCTGAGCCCCCCCCGAGAGCTCCCTAAGGAGATTATCACTGCTCACATGAGGCCCCGCACCGGGGAGGAGGGGACACCACGGTGATGGGGAGCCCCAGGAGGGTCCCTGTGGGGCACAGGAAGGGGCAGAGAGGGGCAGGGGGTGCCCAGGGGTCAGAAAAACACACAGCAGCTTTGAACAGCTCTTTCTGGGGTGATTTCAGAGCCAGCACTGACCCAAAAAGCACAAACCCGAGTGCTTAAACACCCCATCTGCTGCTGGGGGGAGGGTTCAGTGGGGTGCCCCACATGCCCCTGAGACTGGCACACACCAGGTACCGTGGAGGTGCCCCTGCAGCCAGGAGCAGAAAGGTTTGCTCGCCGCAGGGCCACCCTGCACTCTTGGGACCGTGCTGCAGGACACGGGGACAGCCCCCGCCCTCTGCAACACACCTGGGCCCCCCCGAGCCACCGCAGCAGGGGGGCTGAGGCCACCCTCCTCCTCCTCTGCCCCTGGGATCCCCCAGTGAAACGGGTGAGGGAACAGGCCCCCATTGTCCCCACAGCCCAATTCCAAGAGACAGAGCTTTGCAGCCAGGTCCCAGGGGGACAAGGGCTCCCTCCCCATCTGCTGGCACCTCGGGGCCGCCCGGTCCCCAGAGGAGGGTGACAAGCACTGGGGGTCTGGCCAAGTGTCGTTCAGCCAAAGCATGGGGCAGCGGGGAAAGCCGAGGGGCTGGAGCTGGTTCCCCCCGAGGCTGGGTGACAGGGAGGTGGCCCCAGGGAAAGGGCACGCACAGCTAAAACGTTAAATTTCTGCTCTTTATTCGGTGCCTGGTTTCCTCGTCCCGTTTCCCAAACGCACCGCGAGTGAGCGGCACGAAAAAGGGTTTCTAGGGGTGGAGAACCCGGGGAGCGCTCTGAGGAGGCAGAGCAGGGCCAGACCCGAGGGGGTGTGGGGCAGGGGGGCACCCCCTCCACCCGTCCCCAAACTCCCCTTGGGGCCACGGCTCTGCCCCAGCCACGGGGCGAACACCAGGCACCCCAGGAAAGCTCCACAGAGGGCAGGAACTGCCACCTCCTCTGCCCCACAGCGACGGCGGGGAGGGGGCTGGACCCACAGCCCCTCTCCAACTCATCTTATTGCTAGACTCAGAGCAGCAGAGAGGCCAGGAGGAATTCAGAGATTCACTGTTTTAGGAGAGGGGACGAGGACGTGTCCGAAGCCGAGGATTGGCCATCGAGAGGGTGGTCTTTTTGGGGGAAGGAGGGAGCTGCCATCTCTCGCCAGCCCAGCCGTGGGGCCAGCAGCGCCGGGGCTGGCACCGGGAGGGAGGAGAGTTGTGATCGTGTCCGAGAGGAGAACACACCGTCCAGCTCCAGGGCTTCCTGCCCTCTCCCGAGGCTGGAGCCGAGGCTGTACAAACTCATCGCACCTCCGCCAGCAGGGGACTGGGGAAGGACGCTGGGAGGGACTGGAGGGAGAGGCAGGAAGGCCCTTGCCTGCCCCCACCCCCAGACCCCACGGCTAGTTGCGTTGGCTGGCCAGCTCCTGGGAGATGAATTTCCGAAGGCGCTCGAGGTACTGGCTGTAGAGTTCAATGTCATTGTGCCCGGCCCCGTCCACCCAGAGCGGCTCCACCGCCTTGGGGCAGCGTTCGAAGAGCGCCAGCCCGTGCGAGAAGTCGATGACTTCGTCCTCCGTGCCGTGGATGATGAGGACGGGAGAGGTGATTTTGGAGATCTTCTCAATGCTGCCGAGAAGGTGGGGGGGGTTGGGGGGGAAGAGATGAGAGAGGGGGGTAAGTACAGAGACCGAGGCCCCCCCCCCCCCCCCATAAGCACATCCCCTGGAGGAAGAAGAGGGACAAGGAAATGCTCTTTGATCACAGGGGAGCACGGGGACATGGAGCTTCAGCCAAGGATGAGCTGCAGGACGTGATCCCCCCTGAGCTGCAGGATGTGATCCCCCCTGGGCGTGACGGACGAGGACCAGACCGTGGTGACAACGGCCCCGTGGGACCTGGGCAGGGCTGATGGAAACAGCCACGGGACAGCGCGAGGCCGGGCCCTCCCCGCGTCGGGATGGGGGGTTTGGAGCAGTGGAAGCAGGACCATCCTCAGCCCGGCCCCAGAGGCCACGCGGGGCCATGGGGACGCAGAGCGTGGGCTGGTGGCTCCCGGTCACAGCTTCCGCCTCGGGGACCGTCCCTCGGGCCCCACTGGCCCGGCACCAAGGGAGAGGCAAAGCAAGAGCTCGTCCCACTGCCCCCACCCTCTGCACAGGGGGCAAAAAAGCCCCCAAAATTACCCCTGTGCGGAGAGAGGGGCACCCCCCCAGGGTTTGTGATACCCGACGAGGGGCTGGTGGTGCAGTCCCAAAGCAAGACACTGGTACAGGGTGGCCAGGAGATGATGCCACTGTGGACACATGGCATGGCCCTCAGGAGGGGGCACAGGGAGGGTGACAAACCCCCAGGGGAGACGGAATGTGAGGCGGGAGGATCCCAAGGGCATGTTTCAGACCGTCATGGCAAAAAGGGCCCATAGTTTTCACCACAACCCCCCCCCTCTTCATGGCCAGTCTGGGCGCTGACTCTCCAGAGCTGGCCCCTGTCCCTTCTCCCCAGGCCACTCACTTGGGGAAGGCATCGAACCAGTAGGTCTTCTTGGTCTCAGGGAAGGCAACTCTCATGCCAGAGGTGAGCGGGGAGTGGAGCACGATGGCAGCGCACTCGTAGCGGGAGGCCAGGTCCACGGTGGGCACCGTGCCGATGCTTTGGCCGTATAAAATGATGTTCTCTGGGCTGATTCCATACCTGGGGGAGGAGAGGAGAGGGAAGGTCAGTGCCCAAGCACCGGTCACATCACCAGGAGATCCAGCCCAGGGGGTCACCCTGCTCTAGCCACAGCACCCAACAAGGCTTTCTGGGGTGAGGTGGGGGGAATGGGGCTCTGTTCCTCCTGCTTTCACAGAATCACAGAGTCTTCTAGGTTGGAAGGGACCTTAAAGATCATCTTGTCCAACCGTCAACCTCACTGACAAAAATAGACACCCACACAACAAACAAGGAGCATCATCACTAAACCAGACCTCCCAGCACTGCCTCAACCCGTCTTTTGAACACCTCCCTGGGCAGCCCATTCCAATGGCTGATGACCCTTTCAGTGAAAAAATTTTTCCTAATATCCACCCTGAACCTCCCCTGGTGCAACTTGAGGCCATTTCCTCTTGTCCTGTCGCCTGTGACTTGAGAGAAGAGCCCGACCCCCACCTCTCTACGCCCTCCTTTCAGGGAGTTGTAGAGAGCAATGAGGTCTCCCCTCAGCCTCCTCTTCTCCAGGCTGAACACCCCCAGCGCCCTCAGCCTCTCCTCATAAGACTTGTGCTCCAGACCCCTCACCAGCTTTGTTGCCCTTCTCTGGACAGCTCCTCACAGCTGGGCCCAAAGCAGCTGCCCAGCACCCCCAGCAGGACGGGGCAGCAGCCGGGGCTGAGCTGCTGGATGAGTTGTGGGGGGGGTCTCAAGGCCCACCTTGCCAGGAGTGTGGCTACAGAGGGGTTCGCAGACCCCAGATCGCAGGTGCATGGGGCAGCCCCCACTCCCTATGGAGCCCCTCTGCTGGGAGGGGGGCTGAGAGAAGTTGGGGGGTTCAGCCTGGAGAAGAGAAGGCTCCGGGGAGACCTTGGAGCCCCTTCCAGTCCCTCAAGAAGGGGGGCTCCAGGAAAGCTGGGGAGGGACTCTGGATGAGGGAGGGGAGCCCGAGGAGGAGGGGGAAGGGTTGGACCCTGCAAGAGGGGAGATGGAGCTGAGCTGTGGGGAAGAACTTGTTTGGTGGGAGGGTGGGGAGAGCCTGGCCCAGGTTGGCCAGAGAAGCTGGGGCTGCCCCATCCCTGGAGGGGTTCAAGGGCAGGTTGGAGGGGGCTTGGAGCACCCTGGTGTGGTGGGAGGTGTCCCTGCCCAGGGCAGGGGGTGGCACTGGGGAGACTTTGAGGTCCCTTCCCACCGAAACCAGTCTGTGTTTCTGTGATTCCTGGGGGTGCTGAGAGCCAGGCCTGGCTGCAGGGAGGGCAGAGGAGGCAGAGCCCATCACAGGGCTGCACCTTGAGCCCCTCTGGGGAATTGGGGCTGAACACAGCCAGCGGGGAGCCCAGCAACAGCAGGATGGGGAGCACAGCTCGTGCCACCACCCCCAGGCAAGGTCATACCCCAGCAGCATCCCTGTCCTTTGGGTCCCCTGGCTCGCTGCCCCTCCAGCTGCTTTTCCGGCCACCCCTTCCCGTTACGAGCAGCCCGGGTTCCCTCTCCAGGAGATATTTCCTGTTTTCCAGACTGTGGGACCGCAGGGTTTTCCTGCCCTTTCCTCCCTTCCCCCTGCCCGGCTCACCGTGTCCGCAGCGCCTGCCACGCCGCGTCGATGTCCGAGTAGAGGTTCCTCTCCGAGGGCTTGCCCGTGCTCACGCCGTAGCCCGAGTAGTCGTAGGAGAAGATGTTGCAGTTGATGCGGGTGCCCAGCCCGATGTAGAAGCTGCTCATCTGCCCCAGGTCCACGGCGTTGCCATGCGAGAAAAGCACTGTGTACCTGCAGCACCGGGGAGAGACGGGGACGGAGGGTTCATCGGGGACTCTGCCACGGTGCCACCGTGCTGCCCGGCTCGGGGACCGACGTGCCCGGGCAGTGCCAGCCAGGACAGACCCTCCGGAGGCCAAAAGCCAAACCCCAGGATGCCCAACACCCCTCTGGCCACCAAGGAAGGTCCTCACGACATCCATGACCCAACCCCAGAGATGCCTAGACCCTCCTCGCACCCCAGGACCAGGGGCTCGGCTGCCAGAAACAGGCAGCTCGAAGGCAGGATGATTCTGTTCAAGTTTTTGAGTCTATTTTTGGTAAAAAGCTCAGGATTTGGGGCCGTTTGCCCAATGGGGATTTCAAGTAAGAATTCTGACAGCGGCTTTTTTTTCTCCCCTGAGTCTGGCAAGAAACCAGACGCTGGGAAGAGAAGTGAATTGTGGGAGTGACAAGGCACAAGAAATTTCTACCATAGGGGGAAAAAAACAATGTTAATCATAAAAATTAACACTAATGGTGCACCGATGGAAGCTTGGCTCTCTTCTGCCTGAGGGAGGGAGGGCGCGGGACCCTGCCAAGCCCCATGGTTGGTGTGTTGGGTCTCCTTCTCCCAGCCTGGCTGGCCCTGAGAGCCCCAGCAGGAAGGTGGTGGCAGGACGAGCTGTGGGGAGGACAAATGGCAAATGACAGGTCGTGGGGAATCCGGGAGGGTCAGATCTTCCCAGCCTTGGGCTAAACGGCCGCTCCCGGGGGCCAGCTAGGAGCCAGGCCAGCAGGGCACGGGCAAGCAGAGCAACCCCACCAGCTTCCTCTCCCTGGGGACCTGTGACCCACGCAGGGACAGAGCAGACATCCCCACCGGGCCCCCCGTACTGCAGCTCTGCAACCCCCCTGGGAGTCACCCATCCTCACCCCAAGCCCAAGGGCTTGGAAGCCCTTGGCAAGCGGGGGGCAGATCCGTCCCCCCCAGCACACACAGGTCTCTGTGGAGGCTGTTCCTCAGAGGGTGCGTTGCTCTGGGTGTTTGGGTGCCGGGGTGCTGTGTACCCCCACACCGGGGAGCAGCCCCTGAGTTCCCTCCTGTCCCTGTGCCATCCCCTCGTGCAACCATTGGCAGCCAGGAGGGGGTCTCCATCCCACACCCCGGGCTGCCCCTCTCCAGTTTCCCAGTTCAGGGACCCCTGGGGTGACCAGTGACGGGTCGTGCCTCAACCTCTCCTGGCGTTCACTCCTGTCTCTCTTCTTGAGGGATCAAACGTGTCTGTGAATTGGACGCAGATCTTGTTCACCACAGGCATCTCCTGGGTGGCACAGGCTCTTCCCATCCCCGTGGTCACCGCAGGGATGGGGACGGAGGGCGAGGGGTCAGCACAGACCCCCCCAACGCCCACTCAGACCCCTGCACAGACACTTGGTTCACAACTGGAGTGTTATGTCAGTGGGACACCGGGTGACTGGGGACACCGGGGGAGGTTTGGGTGACTGGTGACACCACGGCAGAGCTGCGGGACAGCCTAGGGAATCCCTACCTCCCTGCAGCCTCCAGCTTTGCCTCCTCTCCCCATTTAACCCCATTCCCAGCTGCAGCCACAAGCCAGACCGGTCCCGGGAGCCGAGCTCGCCCGCCCCACAAGATTCCTCCAACCCCCCCAGGCAGCTCCTCCAGCGAGGCCGGGGCGAGGAGGTGGCACTGGGCTGAAGGAGAGGAGGGACAGGATGGCACCGTGCCCGCCAGCACGTCCAGGGGCAAACCCCTGGCACGTCCACGGGCCACTCACCTGGCGCCCGGCGCGCAGCGGACGTACATGCAGCCGACGCGGTTCCCTCGGCTGCTTTTGGTGACGAAGACCTCGATGTTGTCCAGCTCCCGCTGGGAATACTGGAAATCCGCCCGGTCCTTCAAGTGCAGCTTCCATCGCCCCGCGGCGCCGCCGCCGCGCAGGGAACCGGTGCTGGTGCTGCCGACGGGCTCCGGCTCGGGCACCACGGCGTAGGTGGGCTCCGGGGGCAGGAAGGCCAGTTTGGCAGCGATGCGGCTGGGGCAGGGCGGGCAGCAGAAGAGGCAGCAGAGCTGGCTGATGGACAGCCCGTTCATGGTGGCGGAGAAGGGGGATCCCAATCGGGGAGAGAGGCCAGGGAGGATGATGACGGCCGGGAAGAGGCCCTGTCCTCAGCTGGTCATGGGCACGGTGGCCACCAGCAGTCCACAGCGGGCCGGGGTGGCCGCCATCCGTCCCTCTGCGGGCAGCAGCGGTGGCCTGCGGGCAGGAAGGGCAGCAGTGAGGGGTCTGCAAGGGGTACCCACCCCCCATATCACCCGTGACCCCCGGCTGGGGACACACACGCACCTCAGCGACACCCCAAGGGGCACAGGGCGAGTCCCCCCAACACACAGCCCCCCACGCCTGTACTGAGCCCACGCGCACCCCCACATCGAGCCTCCCTCAGCGCTTCCCAGCCCACGCCCCCCCTCCTCCCCCCACGCACGGCAGCCCCACAATCACACGTGTACACACGCTCCACAACAGCCACACAACGGCAGCACAAAGGACACAGCCCCCCCAGGA